GTTCCATGGGCCCTCCCAGCTCTGACATTCTGTGTTCTAAGGGCCCTCCCAGCTCTGACACTCTGGTCCCCTTCAGACCTTGGAGATAACCAGCTATGGAGTAACCCTTTTACAAACAATATTGCTAAAGCCCAGTATTATAGCTCACTGGGACAGAGATTGGACCTGCAATGTCATGGGCATAAGGGACTTCCAGATGAGGAAACATCGTCAGCCAGTACAGGTCAGAACCTCCTCCACAAGTTATAGTTTGGGCGAGCTGCCTAGAGAGGATACAGGACATGTCCATGGTCACACAGAGCTGGACTGCAACCTAGGTTTTCCTGGTTTTGAGGCCAGCCCTCCAACCCCTAGAGTTAAGTGGTGCAGTGGATAGCGCACCTGGCCTAGAGTCAGAAAGACTCATCATCCTAATGTCAAATCCAGCCTCAGACACTTATTAGCTGTGTGACCTTGGCCAAGTCACTGAACCTGTTTGCCTCAATTTCCTTATCTGTAAAAAACAAGTTGGAGAAAGAAATGACAAACTACTCCAATAATTTTACCAAGAAAATCCCAAATGGGGTCATGAAGAGTCCAACACGACTGAACAGTTCTCACCACTATGTCACACTGGCTCTTGGTCTATGATATTAGAATTATTATTGATGCTTTGCATTAGCACAATATCATAGCTTTTCCTCCCCCAAAAATGATTTTTTTCTAATGCCTTTGAGTCTACGTATGTATTGGGGAAACAGAAAAATCTAAACTTCCCATCCCTGGGAAAGCTTCAAATTGGGAATTCTCGTCCACTTTCTCCCTCCTCCCCCTCTTCCTTTCTCCTGTCATGGTATCCATCATAGTCACTCGCATTGATATCATCCTTTCCTGCCACCCCCTTAAGCTATAGATCTAGATCTCTTCTCCCTTTTATTGTTATTCTCTCGGGAAGAATGATCCACCCTCTGCACCGTCCTTCCTCGCTACCCACTCACTTCCCAGCCCTCAGCGACTGGGTCTCAGACCCCACCACTCTACCAAAAGTATTCTCCCTGACATCACCAACTAACTTCTTAATCACTAATGCCTGTAGTGGTTTTTTCCTGGTTCTCCTTGACCTGTCTGTGGTATTTGATGCGTGGACTCCCCCTTCCTCCTACTTATACTCTCCTCCATTGAGTTAGATGACCCGACTCTCTTCCTTTTTTGACCCTTCCTTCTAAGAGCTGCCTTTGAATCATTCCTTTCCTGCCCCTTAGGCTGATGGGACCTCCCCTCCCCCCAGCCTCAGGCCTCATACCTCTTCTAATTATAATGACTGTATATGTATAATGTACACACATATATTATGTATAGTGATTTAAGGTTTGTGAAGTATTTGATTATATTATCTCATTTGATGCAACGGTCCCATGAAGTAAGTACCAAGACCAGGGCTGGGGAACCTGCCACCTTGAGGCCACATGTGGCCTCGAGGCCACGGGTGCCCTGCTCCTGCCCCCGACCAAGACTGTGATTCCCATTTTACAGATGAAGAACCAGAGGCATGCTCAGAGCTAGTGAGTTCAGAGGTGAGATTTGAATCCGCTTTCTCCTGCTTCTAAGCACACTTGGCACACCGCCTCTCTCTACTCAGATCCTGAGAGAGCCCATCTGTTCCCTTGAGTTCAATTATCACCTCCATGCATCTGGTTCCCCAAATCTGTGCATCCTCCCAGCCTCCTTCCTGAGTCCCAGGACTACATTTCCTTGGAATAAACTCGGCAAGTAAAATTGTATGTACTCCACCCCACCAAAAAAACCCAACAAAATAAAAACCTCTTTCCCAAATCTTGGCTGTTTCTATTAATGGTAATACTACCTTCCCAGTCATTCAGGGTCAAATCTTTGGACTTTCTTTTTAATTTTTCTTTTCCCTCATCCCTCTTTATCCAAACCATGGCCAGTTTTATCGTCTTCTTTCTCTTCACATGATGAGCACGCTAGCTCAGTGCCTCCCCACCTCTCACAGGCACTCACGGTCTCCCTGTCTCTGCTCCTTCCCCTCTCCAGGCCATCTGTACCTGTCAAAAAGATTTCTTGACTCAGTTTCCTCATCTAAAAAATGAGAGGGTTAGACTTAACCTCGAAGGTCTTTTCCAACTTTAAATCTATGATCCTATGAATTTCCCCAGGTCACACAACCAATAAGTAGGTGATGTAGGTGATGTAATTCCAAGCACCATATTCTTTCCACTTGATTGTAAAATACAATCCTTCTATGCTGTTCAGTTGTTTCAGTTGTGTCCAATTCTTTGTGTTACCATTTGGGGTTTTCTTGACAAAGATACTGGAATGATTTGCCATGGATTAAGTGGATTAAGGCAAACAGAGGTTAAGTGACTTACCCAGGGTCACACAGCTAGTAAGTGTCTGAGGTTACATTTGAACTCAGGTCTTGCTGACTCCAGGCCCAGTGCTTTACACATTACGGTGCCAGCTAGCTGCCTCCTAGAGACATACACATGACTAATATGCAGGGTGTTCCAAAAAGCCTTGGTGTAGTTTTAAGCTTTTAAAAAACAAAACCAAACAAAAAACCCAATTGTGCCAAGATTTTTAGGATACCTTGTTTTTATACCAACGATGCCCTAAGCAAAATATTAGCAGGAGGTGGAATAGGCGAGAGGGAGGTAGGGGTTCTTCCTGAACAGGGAAGGCTGCTTTGAGGATTTGGCATTTGAATTAAGTTGGTTTTTTTTTAATTTAATTTTTAATTTTTAAAATTGAATTAGGTTTTTAAATTGAATTAAATTGAATTAGGATGGTAAAAGTTCAGCTGGTAAAGATAAGCAGGGCAGACGTCTTAAGCATAGGGAAAAAAAACGGAGGAAGATGGGAAAGTCCCAGGCCCAGTCCACACACTTGTAAGCAAAGTTTCTTGTTTAAAGGCCTAGAGAAGTGTGACCTATTTTCCTAAGCTACTTTCTATCACGTGAGAGGAGCTGGGTCCTGGCCCTCTCTCTTGGCTTGCATTATCACTTAATGGATTTCCTCTCTATGGGGCCAGCTGTCTACCTACCAGCCTCATTACTTCCCACCCCCATTCCCCTCCACGAACTCCTCATGATACACAGTATTAACTGGGAGACAAAGGACGGGGACTAGATTTTATTGGTATATGGAACTCCCAGATGAGGCAAGTCCCTCCACCAATGCAGGTTGGCACCTTCTCTGCAACTTTATAGTCATAGAGTAGCCTGAGAGGTCAAGTAATTTGCCTGGGGTCACGTTGCCTCCATATATCAGAGATGGGACTTGGATTGTCTTTGAGGCCAGGTTTGTTTTATTAAACACTTCTGTAACACTTTACACTTTGCAAAACAATTTACCTATCTCATTTGAGCCTGCCAACCACCCTGTGGTAGGTCCAGAAGGTAGGACTATCTCCACTTTACAGGTGGAAAGACTGAGGTTCTAAAGTTAAGTGGTCACACAGCTATTGAGTATCAGAGGCAGGATTTGAACTCAGGACTGCTTGAGTCTACATCCAGCATTCTAACCATTATATCATGTTGTCCCCCAAACCACGACATCCCTCAACCACCACCTCTACCCCCTGCCCCAAGATTTCTATTCCAATTAAATGCCCAAGGAGCGAATCTCTAACCTTTAGGGATTCCAGGCTTCCTGTGACAGTGAATAGATATTTTGCCTCAGGGATGGGGAAAGAAAGTGGTCCCCACAGCCTTCCAACAATATCACATAGGTGGCTAAGCAATGTCATGCACAGAGAACTCCTTTGAATAGTTAAATAAATGGCCCAGTCTTCTTAGGTCAGTCTTATTAATAAACATTAATCATCTTGATGGGGAGGGGGTGGTCCAGATTTATGATTTTGTGGGTGCATGAAACTCCTCTTGTGATGCAGATAACTTCTGTAGTCTTAGGCAGTGGTTTTCCATTGTTGGGGGGTCCTGGACACCGCCCTCACCCCCATGGTCAGTAAGCTTAAGCCAACAGACTCCTCAGAATAATGTTTTAAATGCATAAAATCAAATATATGATGACAGAAAAAAATTACATTCAAATAGATGTATGTTTTTCCCCATTTAAGTTCATGAGCCTCCTGAAATCTATCCACAATCCTACTAGAGGGTCCAAGGATCCCAGATTAAGAACACCCCTTTTAGATAGTTGCTTGGGGGCACTGAGATTTCCTTAGGGTTGTTTGCCCAAGGTCTCACCTCCAGTAGTGTCAGAAGTCAACCAATCAATAAGCAGTTTATCTATTAAATGCCTGGGGGCCATCTCCAGTCATTCTGATCTATACCTGGCCACTGGACCCAGATGGCTCTCCAGGAGAAAGGGAGACTGGTGACTTTGCACAGTCCTGCCTCACTTCAATCCAATTCACTTGCAAGTCATGTCATTATCTCCCTGGAGTTAAGTGCATACTCTGGGCCAGGCTCTGTGTTAGGTGTGCTCATTACACAGGGGCAGCCAGGTGGTGCAGTAGATAAAGCACCAGCCCTGGAGTCAGGAGAACTTGAGTTCAAATCAGACCTCAGACACTTGACACTAGCTGTGTGCCCCTAGGCAAGTCACTTAATTCCGACTGCCTTAGCAGGTGGAAAAAAAAAAAAAAGCAAAAGCAAGCACAGTCCTTATTCTCAAGGAACTTACAGTCTCATCAGGAGAGAAAACACCTACATATACAGTTATATACGATATCCTTAAAATGGTGATTTTTGAGAGGAAAGCATCAGTAGTCAGGACACCAGGAAAGGTCTCAAGTAGAGGGTGGCACTTAAACTGAGCCCTGAAAGAAAGTAGGGATTCGGAGAGACAGGTGAGGAGGGACGGTAGATG